CCTTGCGCTTGCCAGAGAAGCACTTATTCTACTGAGCCATCTCCCCCCCACCCTTTTTTAAGATAGGGTTTTGCTATGTAGTTCAGGCCAGCCTGGACTCACTATGTAATCCAGGCTGGGACTCACCATGTAACTCAGGCTGGCCTTGAACTCATGGCAATATTCTTCCCTCAGCCTCTACAGTGCTGGGATTACACCACCACATCCAGCAATAGTAAATTTTTTTTTTTTTTTCGGAACCAGGGGTGCACTCAGGCCCTTGCGCTTGCCAGGGAAGCTCTTATCCCACTAAGCCATCTCCCCGGCCCCAGTAGTAGATATTTGTAAATTTAAACTTCTTATTTTCCTTATGTAGCATTCAAGGTCCTCTCTAAACCCTGGTTTCTAGGGCCAGGGAGATGGCTCGGTGGAATAAGTGCTTCCCTGGCAAGCGCAAGGGCCTGAGTTCAATCCCCGGTTCCGTAAAAAAAAAAAAAAAAAAAAAAAGAATAAACCCTTGTTTCTAACCCACCCATCATCATTTGATAAAGACATATTTGGTACCCCTCTAAAGTATGGAGCCAATCCTGGGTAGGTATAGAGAAGTAGTCATGATCCTTCACTCTTACAGAACATACCAGGCTCTCAACTCTGCACCATCCTGGTCCTCAGTACCTTTTGCCCTATTGATTCTAAGGGACTCTTCAAAGCCCAACTCCAAGCCTGCCTTTTCAGCAAACCTTCCCACAGCTCCATGACCCTTAGGATGGTCACCTCCTGTCTGGCATCCTGGTTTCCCTCTTTCCTGGGGTGTCCCTCAACCCATCTGTAAGCTCTTTAAAGACAGGCTCTGGGCTCTTCTTTGTACCCTTCCCCCATATCCCAGGCTAAATAATGCTTGAAATAATGACTTTGTCTTAAAGCAGATATAAGTAGCCTACAAGACCATTTAAATTCCCAGCTCAGTTTTGGATGAAAAGAAACTAAGACCTAGGGATGGGGAGCTAGCTCAGCAGCATAAGTGCCTGCCTAGCAAACACAAGGTCCCAAATTTGAGCCCCAGTACCAAAAAGCAAAACAAAACTAAGACCTTGTTCTTGATTCTTTCACCTGAAGCCTAAGCTACCTCAGCTATCTCTTACCTCTTTGCTTTCATGTTGGGAATTGCTGAAGCTGGAAATTGGTTCCTGTGTGAGGGCAGGATGAGGCCTCCTTGCCTAAAGCAGTCAAGTTGCCTCTGTACTGAAAAAAAACATCCTGCCCTTTCAATGTCAGCTATTAGTCACTAGGCAACCTTGTGTCACATGATACTAACTTTGCAAAGATATTGTCTCTTATCTATCTTTTCCTCATTCCTGCCACCCTTTTTCCCCAGGGTACCCAAGAGACCAATGAGTGCTTACAGTTTTTTTAATTTTTTCCTATTCAAATCAGGCAGGGAGACTTGAAGGTTGATGCTGAAGTTTTGCTGGGCCAGGGTCCCTGAGACATAGGAATGTCCATAGGGCAGGAACTCTAGGGGACAGCCCTGTTGCTGTCCAGAGCCGCTGCTTCTCAGCCTGCCAGAAGGCTCACTCTTGGCTGAGCCAAGGTCTTCCTATCTCCAGAGAGGACCCTAAAAGGACAAGGGGGTGTGAGGGGCTCTTTTGGCTCCTGCTCCTTGGTGGGGTAGGGGTTAATAGTAGATTGCAACACATCTTTGAGCTGAGTCACTTCCCATTGCCATCCCCCTTCGCCTCAGTTGGAGTCTTATAAAGAAGTCCAGAGGCTGGGAAGTGAAAAGAAGTGGAGGCCTACAATCCCTGTTGTCTCAGGCTCCCAGAAATCCAAGGTCAGAGAGCACAGCCAGCCTCTGGAGCTCTTGTCAGCTGGAGCCATGAACTGGCAGCAGCTGTGTCTGGGCCTCCTATTTCTCCAGACAGGGACAGTCTCTTGTGGAGCTCTGGGACTTGAAGGAAAAGAGGCAGCTGTGGTGAGTCCCCCTAGGGTGTGTGTGTGTGTGTGTGTGTGTGTGTGTGTGTGTGTGTGTGTGTGTGACCAACCAGGGCAGTGACAGGGAAACCACTCCACAGCTCCAATGAAGCTTGCCTCCTGTCTGCAAACACTGCCTGTCTTTCCTTTCTTTCCACTACTCCCTAGTCCACCCTGCCACCTCCTGCTCTCCTTCTTCTTGCTCTACCTGAGCCCATTTTCTGAGCTGCTTCCCCTTTAGGCCTTCAACTCTGTCCCTGCCTCTCCTCATGGACCTCTTAGGTAAGCTAGAACCTCTGCCTAGAGGCCATGTGCCTGTTACCATGCTCCCTTCTCCCCATTGCAGGATTACCTGCTGCAGTTTGGGTACCTGCAGAAGCCTCTAGAAGGACCTGATAACTTGAGGCCAGAAGATATCACAGAGGCTCTGAGGTGAGAGGTCACAAGGTCAGAGCTGAAGTTGCAAGGTGTTCCCCCTTCTCATCCTTTCCTCTCCACAGCCCCACCTCTGCCTGCCCCAAATCCACACCAGGGATCTGTTGGATGGGTGCTTAGCAATGTTGGGGTGGTGGCACACAGGGTGGGATGGGGGTATGAGATGAGAAGCATAGTCATTGGATCTTCCAGGCCCTCCTTTGGAGGGTCTGTCCCACATTGTATCCCAAATACTAATATTTAGGTATAGCCCACATGAAGTATGATTTACATGTCAAATTATGAATTGGATTGTTGAAATGATGTTATCTTTTATGGACACTGCATCCAGCCAGCACTTTTTTCTATTTTGTGGTTTGCTTGCTTGCTTTTTTTTTTTTTTTTTCCCAGTACTGAGGATTGAACTCAGGACCTTGTGCTTGCCAGGCAGGTGCTTATGCTACTCAGCTAACTCCCTGGCCATCCTCTTACATTTTTGTAATGGGTTGCTTTTCTTTATGTTCTTAGAAATGTTTGGGTCCCTTGAAAAGCACATGAGTCCTATGACAGTCTATAGAGGATGAGATTTCCCCAGAGCAGGCTGGGCTGGAGGTATGTCCAGCCAGGAGGATGGAAGGAAAGGAGGAGAGGTCCTGGTGGAGAATTGGAGACAGGGGGAGAATTTCCAGAGGTGATCTGGCTACCTTTCTAGAGCACACAAAGGTTGGAAATTGTAGTAAGGGAGGAAGCCTACATTTGGGAGTAATTTTACTTGAAAAAAGATATTGAAAGCTGGGTATGAGGACCGGGAAGATGGCTCAGTGGAATAAGCACTTCCCTGGCAAGCACAAAGGCCTGAGTTCAATCCCTGGTTCCACCAAAAAAAAAAAAAAAAAAAAAAAGGCAAGTAAGCAAGCAAGCTGGGTATGGTGGTGACACTCTGGGATGCTGAGGGAGGAGGACTACAAATTCCAGCTTATCCTGGGCAATTTAATGAAACCATGTTTCAAAAACAGATTGGAATTGTAGCTTAAAGGGAAGGCACAGAGTTCAGTCCTGTGCCATTCTTGGTCACCACTGTGGGCAGTAGGAAGTCAAAGAGCTATCTCCAGTTCTTAGTCATTCCAGATTCACCTGTCCTGGTGGACCCATCCCTCCCCCTCTTTCCAGAGCTTTTCAGGAAGCATCTGAGCTGCCAGTCTCAGGTCAGGTGGATGATGCCACAAGGGCCCGCATGCGGCTGCCTCGTTGTGGCCTGGAGGACCCCTTCAACCAGAAGACCCTCAAATACCTATTGCTGGGTGAGGATGGGGCCTGGGAAGAGGAGGGCAAGCAGGTATTGTGGCTCTGGAGTGTGCTGGCATCAGGACAGTCTGGACCAGCTCGTGTTGAATGGGTGATCGCCTGGTGATTACCTGTTATCATCTGTCTAGATGGGTTGTGACTGCCCACACCCAGCGGAGCTTTCTGTGGTTAGAAGGATCTGTGTTTCCAACACAGAGAGTGATGTGTGTTTCAAATGTATGTTCTGGTCCATTAACCAGGACGATGGAGAAAAAAGCACCTGACCTTTCGCATCTTGAACCTGCCCTCCAGCCTCTCACCCCACCTAGCCCGAGCAGCACTGATCCGAGCCTTCAAGTACTGGAGCAGTGTGGCACCCCTGACTTTCCGGGAGGTGCGAGCTGGCTCGGCTGACATCCGCCTCTCCTTCCATGGCCGCCAAAGTCCATACTGCTCCAATATGTTTGATGGGCCTGGTAGGTAGCAGTTCTCAGCTTTCACCTTCCAGACTTCTGAGATTACCTCCATTTCTTTGAGTCAGTGACTTTGCAGCATTACTATTAAGGGTTCCCCTTATCCCCACCTGCACCCTATGCAACCTGACCCCATTCTAACATTCCCTAGGGAAGCAGTTGTTTGCTTGCCTGGAGGCTTACCTCCTCTTTGAACCTGACACCTCCTTCCCTGGCTTAAATCCCATCAAGGTACATGTGAGAGAGAGCTGGGCCACAGAGGAGAGAGTGGCTGGGAGAAGGGGAGAGTACAGGGAGTGTGATGGGCATCAGTGAGAGAGGCGGATGACAGCAAAGGAATCTGAAGGAAGCATCTCACAGACGGTGAATGTAGCTAGGGGCATGTAAAGAAATGGAGTACTCCAGTTTATGACAAGGCAGGATGTGCTCCAGGACTCTGGGCCCTGACCTTCCTGTACACCTTTGTCTTCATGCAGGGAGGGTGCTGGCCCATGCTGATATCCCTGAGCTGGGCAGTGTACACTTTGATGAAGATGAGCTCTGGACTGAGGGGACCTACCACGGGGTGAACCTGCGCATCATCGCCACCCATGAACTGGGTCATGCCCTGGGACTTGGCCACTCCCGATACACCCAAGCGCTCATGGCTCCTGTCTATGCTGGATACCGTCCCCACTTCAAGCTGCACCCAGATGATGTCTCAGGGATCCAGGCTCTCTACGGTCAGTCCCTTGAGAGTGTGAGGCTGGTCAGTCTGACCAGCATCTTTTTCTGCTTAAAGAGACAGGGCTCGCATCTGTGGAAGGAAATGGTGTGGTTTATTTTTCTTCCTCTGACCCAGTTGCACAGGCTGCTTCACTTTCATGAATGGTATCTGGTTGACTCTGCCATGTTTAATCTTCCTTCTAGGCCTTTCTCCCTTTATCTTCCCTTTGGGATGGAGACCTCAAATCCCAGGAAGCTTCCTTGCTTTTTGGTTGCTTCTCAACTAAAACTGTGTCTCTCGCTGATGTTAATATGAAATTGTCCACCACCAAGAAAAACTCCCTAAGAATGTCTACATTCTACAGTAGCATTGGGCAGAGCATACAGTAGACAGGGGCTATCACATCTCTTCCACAGAAGCATTATTTCATCTTGCAGGCAAGAAAATCCCAGAGACAAGGGATGAGGAAGAAGAGATGGAGGTGCCCACTGTACCTCCAGTGTCCAGAGAGCCCAGTCCTATGCCAAACCCCTGCAGTGGTGAACTGGATGCCATGATGCTGGGTGAGGTCTTTCCCCTCCAAACCGTAAACAGGCGTGGGGCCAGGCATTGACCCTAAGGCCTGGACCAATGGGAATGACATGAGGCCACAGCATGAGCACAGTGGAAGTCAGACCCCAGGGAAAGGTTGGTGTCTAAGAAAGAAGACATGTAATATAGATAGGGAAAGCCAGCTGTGCTGGCACACACACCTATAATCCCAGCACTCAGGAGGCTGAGGCAAGAGGATTGTTGTAAATTTGAGACTGGTTTGGTATACACAGTGAGCTCAAGGCCAGCCGGAACTGCATAGTGAGACCCTGTCTGAAATAAATAAATAAATAAATAAATAAATAAATAAATAAGATAGGGCGGGTACAGAACTGAATTTAAAGGGGGGTAAAGCAGCCATTTATCAAGGTTGTCACCCTACAAGGGTTACTAGAACACATATGGAAAAGCAGCAAAATGGAATTAGGTAGACTGCCCCTTAGGCTCTGACCTGACTGGAAGAACAACTTGGAAGCCACTTAGAACAAGCGGTCCCCAAGATGGAACAACTATCTATTAAGATAGCTAAGTGCTCTGAAAAACAAGGGAGAAGTTGAACACTAGGTTCCTCTCCCCACCTTTAATTTTCTTCTCTAATTAAAGTTGGACGAAGTTTTGAAGAATCGGCCTGTAGGAGGGAAGACAAGCGATTAGTCTACCCGAAATACTTGGAGGTCTTTGTCTGTTTGACTTGTTGATACCCTTTGCTCTCAGGGCCCCGCGGGAAGACTTATGCTTTCAAGGGAGACTATGTGTGGACTGTGACAGATTCAGGGCTGGGCCCCTTGTTCCTAGTATCTGACCTTTGGGAGGGGCTCCCGGGAAAACTGGATGCTGCTGTCTACTCTCCTCGAACACAGTGGATTTACTTCTTTAAGGGTAAGAGGGCTGGCTACAATGTCTTATCTGAGGAGGGCCAATACATAAAAAACCCACAAAAGAGTCAAGAAGTTTCTAAAAGGGTGAAATTGCAAGGTGTGGTAGAGCATGCCTGTAATCCCAGCACTTGGAGGGAGGCTAAGATAGGAGGATCATTGCAAATTCAAGGCCAACCTGGGCCACATTTTGAGACCCCCATCTCAAAAACCAAAACAAATGAAAGGGTGGAATCGAGGGACTACAAGCTACTACCTGAAGATAGAAGTGACTTGTTCTTTCCTTTTACACTCTTAGGAGACAAGGTGTGGCGCTATATTAATTTTAAGATGTCTCCCGGTTTCCCCAAGAGACTGAGTAAGGTAGAGCCCAACTTGGATGCAGCTCTTTATTGGCCTGTCAACCAGAAGGTGTTCCTCTTTAAGGTACAGAGTTCAAAAGGAGTGACAGCCCTTCTTAAGAGGGGCAGGCTGGCTCAGAGCTTTGCAGTTGTGATGGGCTGGGTCTTTAAATTTTGTCTTCATTGTGAGCTTCTCCATGTCTACCCTATACCTAGGGCTCTGGGTACTGGCAGTGGGATGAGCTGGCACCAACTGACTTCAGTCGCTACCCTAAACCAATCAAAAAGTTGTTTACTGGAGTGCCAAACCAGCCCTCGGCTGCCATGAGCTGGACGGATGGCCGAGTCTATTTCTTCAAGGGCAAGAAGTACTGGCGCCTCAACCAGCAGCTTCGCGTGGAGAAAGGCTATCCAAAAAACACCAGCCACAACTGGGCACACTGTCATCCGCACACCCCAAGCACTACTCCATCAGCTGGGGACACCACTCCCTCAGCCATCTCGAACACTGATACGGTTTTGGACAATACCTCCTCAGCCTCAGACTCCATGCTTTCATTACCTGTTAATGTCACCTTCCCAGAGGCCTAAGACGGAATCAGATGTCTGTTTATTAGAACTACAACAGGGTCATGAACTAGATCTCCAGCCTCTAAAAGTTTCAACTCTAGCCACTTCTCTCCTGAGAGATGCTTCCTCTACTCTGGTTCAACCCCCATTCCACCCAGTTGCTCCTCGTTTTAGGGAGTCTTAGATATCGCTTCCAACTGTGTCATCTCATCTCTCTGAAAGACAGTGGTGGAGGGATGTGTCAATTAGGCCTTTAGTTGACAGGATGTGGCAGCTGGGGAAACTGGATACCGGGATTCTGTCCATCTCAGGTAAAGTACAAGAAAATAGTATGGCCAGTAAAATGAGCAAGGGCTTTGGAATCCTTGAGAATCACACTTGCCTGTTTGTGACTTGGGCATGCCAATTTAACCTCATTGCCCTCTGGATTGTCTGTCAGCAAAGTTAATGCCAATCCTGCACGGTTGTTGCATGAAATGAAATACTGTGTACATGTAAAGAGTCTGGCAAGTTTGCAGTTCATAAAGGCTAATTCTGTGTTTCTAAGAAAGGGCTCAACAGCTCTTCCTCTACCTGCCTGAGTGTGCAGCTCCTAAAGCACTCTGTCTGAGAAGGGTACACCTATCAGATCTTTTTTAGAAGACAGAAGACTTAGTAATATGTCCGCCTCTTTGAGGATATACAGGGAGCGGGAAGAATTGCAACAGCAAAGGCAGATTTCCCTGGTTCAGTTTTCAATGCCATTTTATTCACATGGTCCTGTGTTCTTCCTCCCTCCATCATAGTCCTGCTGCCCAGGAGATACATTTTCCTCCATGCTGCCTGAGAAATCAGGGGACAGCAGAATTGAGGCGGTAGTTAGTATATGTGCTGCCGAAGACAGCACATTGAGGGAGTAGTTAGAAAGGGTTAGTGGTTGAAACAAAATTCTGGTTAAGGAGGGAGTTAGTATCACCCACAGTGACAGGTGGAGAAGGCACTTTTCTCCCATGTAGCCCTGAAGACCAGACTGCTTTGGGCAAAAAGGGCAAGGCTCTGGCATATGGCCAATCCTATCTTCTTGGAACAAGGAGCCAACTTTTGGAAAGGTAAGTGTTGAGGGAGGCACTGGGACTTCTCCAGGTTGAGGTGAAAAGGGGAGGCACCATGGAGGATAATGCTCCCCACTGAGGTAGGAAAAGGGGACACAAGCCTGTGTGGGTCCAAGGGGAAAGGCCAATCAGAATTCTAACTACCTCTTTTGTGCTACTCTCATCAAAAGCTATCACATATCTTAGGAGGCTCCCTGATTTTCCATAGGTCCTACAAAAACAAAGCCCCTTATTTCACCACTGCAAGGCACACTGAGATGGATATTTACTTGGGTAAGAGTCCTCCTTGTTTTGGAGAGAATTAGGGAGTGAGTTTCTCTAGGACCGTGATTTTTTTTGTTTCCTTTTGGTGGTACCAGGGATTGAACTCAGGACCTTGTGCTTGCCAGGCAGGCACTTATTCCACTGAGCTATCTCCCCGGCCCTAGTTTCTCTAGGGAGCAGGCATCTTTATCACTGGACAGAGATGGGTAGTCATATTTCTGTTTCTCTCCCCTCCCCACAAGATTCTTCTCTTCCTGTCCCTGAAGCATATCTACAAGGCTGGCCTGGAGAACAGGTCCTGTCCCCAAATCTAAGAGGTGGAGAAGTCTGTGCTTGAGTGCTGTGGGCCCTCATTAGGGTTGGGTGTCAGTGGATGAGGCTCAGATCTGAGTTCAGCCAGAGGGTGTGGTGAGGGGTACAGTGGAACCACAGTCAGAATCTAGGTCCACGATGGTGTTGGGAGCTGTGGCCAGGGTGCTTGGTCCCAGCTGGCGGTCCCGAAGACTCTGGAGATAACTCTGAAGGAATATAGGGCAAAAGGGCAGAAGGGGGGCCCTGGGTCAGAGCCCACTCTCAACCCGACCATCCCCATTTCCCCTCTGCCACATCCCCACAGGGTGCCCCAACCCCCCACTCACTGGAGCCAGACTGTCAGCAGGGCTCCGGGCGCTTGGGGGGAGCTGGCGCCGATAGCTGCCCTCACACAGTCCCACCCCAGAGGGGGTCCGGTGCCACTTGGCCTCTTGTGAATGGATCCGAAGAAGTTGGAGATGCCTTTGCTGGTGGCTCAAAACCACTGATTTGGAAGGGGCAATTGAGATTTAAGGAGGCCTCTCGAGGCCCTGAATTCTACTCCTAAACACACTCATCCTCTATAGAAACTGATTTGAACTCACTGTTATGTTCTCTCAAGCCTCAAATCACCCTCAGTTATTAGAATTCTACTTTTGTCTTTTAGGAGCTTCCTTTCTTTCCATAAGTGCCCCAAATAACTTACCCCGCCTCCCCTGAAAATTTCTCTTCTCATCCTCACCCAGACACCATTGGCTACTCCAATTCTTTCTTTAATGCTCTGTCCTATCTAGCACAGACATCCTCCCCCATTCTTGTCCCTAATGTCTAATTTCTCCCCTTTCCCTCAAGTCTGGGAAGCAGGGACACAAGTAGGCATAAGTTGGCTGTTTCTACACCGAAGCGCTAACTCACCATTGGCGTGGCCTCTGTGTTCCTCAGACATGAGCTTCCACTGGGCCAGGGCCCCAAGAGCCCCCAAGGCTGGCCAGGTCCCCAGTAAGACCCAGCTATACCAGCAGAGAGGAGGCAAAGCTGTAAGTGCCTGCAAGCGTTGGCCCAGCCGACTGCCCAGCGCCAGTCCCTCCAGGAAGTAGTCAGCGCAGGCCACTAGCACTGCAGCACCCAGCAGGGCTGTGCCCAGAATTGTGAAATGACGAGGCCACCGAAGTGTCAGCAGGGCTCCCAGGAGTGCCAGACCCACCAGCCCTCCAGCTGGTACCCAGGCTGAAGGTGGCTGGTAGATGGGCTCCGTGGCCAGCAGGGCCCCAGCACCCAGGGTCAGACCTAGCAGGAGACCAGTCAGGAAGAGCCCAACGCTGCGAACCAGCATGGTGACCAAACCGCAGAGGAGTCCGATGCCCAGTGCAATGCCTGCGCTCACCTCCAGGCTCAGCTGTGTCTCCAGCACCCGCTCCTTGTGGCACAGCAGGAAGATCACCAGAGCTCCTGATAGCAGGCCGGAGAGAAACATCACTGCTTTGAAGCAGCGGTAGCCTGGGAAGGGAGGCAAGTGGCACTGAGAGGCAGAAAGGGGGGGTGGTTATTCAGGGATCATTTGGGAGAACTGAGAAAGGAAAGGTAACCAGAGGAGCAGAAGACAAGCAACAAGTCAAGGGAACCTCAGGGCAAAGGGAGGAAAGGGATTAGTTTAGGGTTGGAGGAGGGGTATTTAGGAACTGTGAGGGTTTGGGAGGGAAAATTAGAAGGCAAGAAGGATGCATTGAGAGAGAGTACAGGAAGGTCTAGTCCTTCTGGAGATGAGCCATAGGAAGAAATCACCACAGGCTGATTCTGGTTTCCAGGGAAAGGTGAAGAAGTGTGAAGAATGGAGGATGATTGGGAATGCAGTTTTGAGGTAGGAAGGCATAGGATGGCAAATGATGGACGACAGAGATCAGAGCTAGAGGCATGGGTAAGGGGGTGGGCAAGAAGTTGGCAAGGGCAGAATGGGCCATCCTGAAGGTAGGCATCCCTTGACAGAAGTGGGAACAAAGGCATTTGGTATCATCTTTGAGTCTTGGGCAGCTGCCCCCCAGGACCTTGGCCCTGCCCTCACCAAAGCAGCAGTAGATGATTCCAAAGCAGCAGCAAAGGGCACACACCAGGGCAGGTGCTAGTTCAGGGTTATCCTGGGGTTCCAAGATACATCTTGGGTCTGGAGGCTCTGGCAGTTGCTGATTAAAGTGCCTAGGATCAGCTGTCACGGTCAGGGGTAGCAAGGCTTTTTCCATAGTCTGAGAGGTGTTCACAGAGTGGGAGGTCAGTGCGAACTCCTCTCATCTATTCATGAATGTCTTGAGAGCGTTGGGAAACCTGCAAGAGGACAAGGGAGAGAACTCACATGTTCATGAATCTTTAGGATTCTACCTCTGTTTTCTTTTAAAGAATGGCAAATTTTAGGCAGGAAAATGGCCCTGTTGGGGTAACTAAAGAAATCTACAGGCTTTTGTTGAGGGGAGTGCGATGTCTCATTATCACCCTCTAAAATGAGGACATTAAGGAAAATTTAAATGAACTTTCATGAGGGAATGAGTCTGCTTTTCAGGATGAAGGTAGGAGTAGGAAGCCCTGGGTCTGTGGGGAGAAGCGGACATGGGGACTGAGGGGCTAAATCCCCAGCAGCCTCTCTAAAGAAAGGCTGCTTCATTTGCAGCTAAGACTCAATACTCCTTCACTGGATTGGCAAGGGCAAGGTTAATAAAAAGGGGAGGAGGAGGAAGAGGAGACAATGAGTCATCCTGGGGTCTCAGGATGTGTGCTGTAACTCCAGGGAAGAAAGAGAGGAGAAGAACAAGGCACCAAAAGAGTTTGGGACAAGTAATTATTTAGGAAATCACTTTGTCAAGAGTTTTAAAGCCTTGACTTTGAGCTGAGATGGAGTTGTTGGGGGAAGGGGTTTGCCTCCAAAGTCCAAATCCCATAGCCCCACATGGAATAAGAGGCACCTCACTCACAAATGTCACACATCCTGGTATCCACTTGCTCCTCCCCTCAGAACATTGATGGACCTTTTCCTACCCCAGGGGTCTGAGTGCTGCCAATGGGATCTGAGTTCAGATCCTGAAAGGAGATCACCAAGGAAGGGCTGATAAATGGAGTATTGTGGGAGTGGGGTGGGATAGATGCAGGCACTTTCCTTCAGCTGTCTTTCAGATACCAAGATTCTAACAGACTAAGGAGTAGCTTGGGAAATTGCTGGGGCTCTTAACAGATCTGGAAGTCTGTCTGGGACCTTAAACAAGAGAAGGTTGGGGAAAGGATATTAACTACTCACCACCTAGCCAGGGCTGAGGAGGGGGGTGGAAGTGCTTCCCTAGACCCCCAGCTGCATCCCAGCTCAGAGGTCCTAGGTGCCGGGACGGGTGTCGGGAGTGGGCACCCCCAGGGTCACTCTGTTCTTTGCTCCCTAAACTCTTGGAAGTCGTAGCCCAAACCCCGAGAGCTAAAAGCAACTAGCCTGGGGGGCGGAGAAAGGGGACAGGGTGTGTGTTGGGGGGGTGACATCACGGAGCGGGCCCCTCCAAACCGGTCCTCTGTGTGTGGGGGGACATAGTTGCTTACTGGTCTACTCCAGAACTAGACTCTCAACCATAGCAGGGAAGGGGAGTTGGGGACATAGCAAGAGATTTGGGGAAACATCCCTGAATACTTAGGCGGAAACTCCACAACTTGAAACTCTCAAAGTTCCAACTGGGGTCCCAGTTCCCCCCTAGCTCCAGCTTGGTTTCTTCCACTTCCCAGAGAATTGGAGTATTGTCTTCTAGAGAACTGGGTGGTCGGCATCGGGGACCTGGGGAAAGGGAGTTTTACTGGTCTGGGAGAGCTGGCGAGGGGGTTATGGGTGGAAAATCTTGCAGACCAAGACGGGGTCTGGATGGAAAAGGGGCAATGACAGAACTGTGTGACTAGGAAATGTGTAGAGAGGGAACCCAGGGTCTGCGTGGGGGCGGGGGCGCGTGTCGACGTCGGCGGAAAGGCTTGGTATGCAAATGAGATGCAAAGCAGCATACTGAGGACTGCCGCGTTCTGTCGCGCTCGGCTCTGATTCTACGCCCAGCGGAGCTACGCTCCCAGCCCTCTGGCATCGTTCCGTGACCGGGCTTGGGAACGAGGGGGCGGATCCGGGGCGTGGGAGCTGCAGTTATAAGGGGAAGCTCGCCAGCTGGGTCAGTCGCGGTGGAGGCCGAAGGCTGCTAGGAGGGGTAGCGCTGCAGAGCCAGGGCGAGGAGTTAGCCCGGGGCATCCTCTCTTCTGCGGATACAAAGGTCCTCTGTCCTTGCTACAACCAGTAGGGAAGGGATCAGGGCGGTGGTTGCTCTGCGACTCCTAGTCTTGCCTGCACAAGGGAAGACTGTGTGGTTCGGTGGTTGTCCTTCATCTCCCATTATCTGCAAAGCCCGGGTGTAGAGCTGGAGCAACTCTTGCGAATCGGCCCCCAGCCCACAGGCACTGCGGCAGAACGGCCTGGCTTCGCTCTCAGCCGCACCGTCTGCGCGCACAGCCACCCCGCCCGCCGAGGCCAGCATCAGAGGGCCCTTTAAGGGGTGGAGCCGATGCTCTCGAGGTCCGCCTCCTCTGATTTGATTGAGCGCTGAGTGGACTGGCTTGCTCCTCGGCCAACTGCTTTTTCTTTTCCTTCCCGTCTCTTCCCCGGTGACCCCGGAAGTGGAAGTCGGTGCAGGTTGGCGGCCGCGGCGGGGACGGAAGGCGGAAGCGGAGGGGTTGCAGGAGGCGGAGCCGGGGGAGCTGCGCTCTTAGCTCCCCCTGGCCCCAAGGCCCACTGCTCAAGGGGGAGGAGTTACTGCCGCTCGCCAGTTCGTTATTTTCGCCCCTTCTCCCTACCCCTTGGGCTCTATAGGGGGACCCTGAACTCCGTCTCCAGCTTTTCCTTTAGGGGCACACGGTCCCCACCCTTTCCTGACAGTCTGCGGTTACCCGCCTTTTGGCTGTCTACCTTTTTCCTAGGAGTGACCCTTGGACCACACCCTTTGCAGTACTTCTTTCCCCCATTGAAGATTATGGCTTCCTGGAAGAAGAAAAACTAAGATTTGGAAGAGGAGAAAAGTTCCAAAAAAGGTTTTGGTTTCTCTGATTCTGGCTTATTGTTACGGTTAATGAATGCCCGAGGGGATTTGGGATGAGGAGGGAGAAGAGTACATTAAATATATCCCCAATGTAAGATTAACTCCCCTTTGGCCTTACCGTTCACTATTCTCACTTTAATACCTTTGTTCCAGGCATCAGAACTTACCGTGATGGCTGTGACCTAAAACCCTCAGGAAGCCCTGGGGTCATGGCCCAGAAGCACCCGGGAGAAAGAGGGTTGTGTGGAGTGGACCACAGTGGTGATGCCTCCCTCAGGACTTTAGGACCCTCCACGGATCCTGAAATACTTGCATTCTCAGGACTCAGGGACTCAGCAGAGACTGCTCCTAATGGTACCCGTTGCCTCACGGAACACTCTGGTCCGAAGTACACACAGCTCCCAAATCCGGCTCATTGGTCAGATCCAAATCATGGCCCCCCAAGGGGTCCAGGACCACCTAGGGAAGGAGAGGACCCGGATCAAAGTGAGGCATCTTCAGAAGAAGAATCAGGAATGGACCAGGAACTCTCGAAAACTGCAGCTGGGTACCATGAGGATGGGAACCCTTCTTTTCTTTCCAGTCCATCTGCTTGTAACTGCCAGGGAACACCTGGAATTCCACAAGGGCCTTACTCTGAGGGAGGAGATGGTTCTTCTAGCAGCTTTTGCCACCATTGTACCTCTCCAGCCTTTGGGGAAGATGAAGAATTGGAAAAGGAATATGACAATGAGGAACCTCTTAAATTTCCAGGTGAATTTTCACGGGTGTCCAGCGGAAAGAAACTTCCATCCCGGAGACAGCGGCACCGCTTTCTGACCAAGGATGATGGTCGGGAGAGTGGACGTAAAGATCCCAGGTCCCCTGGTCGACATCGGCTGGGCCGGAAACGAAGTCAGAGAGATAAGCGCAAAGGCCTGGGATTATGGGGAGCAGAAGAACTATGTCAGCTTGGACAGGCAGGCTTCTGGTGGTTGATTGAACTGCTGGTGTTGGTGGGAGAGTATGTGGAAACTTGTGGCCATCTCATCTATGCATGTAGGCAGCTGAAAGGCGGGGATCTGGACCTTTTTCGAGTTTGGGTGGGAGCCTGGATTGGGCAGCTAGGCAGCTGGACACAGGTGGTGTGTCAGTTTCTAAACCAGGGATTTTACTATGGGGCAGGGCTGTTCACCCGTTTTCTTAGGCTAATGGGTGCTTTGCTGCTCCTGGGTCTAGCCCTCTTTTTGGGCTGTCTCCAGTTGGGCTGGCAGTTTCTGGTGGGCCTGGGTGATCGGTTGGGCTGGAGGGATAAGGCCACCTGGCTGTTTTCTTGGATGGATTCACCTACCTTGCAGCGTTGCTTGACTCTGGTGAGAGATAGTAGGCCCTGGCAGCAGCTGGTAAGAATAATTCAGCAGGGTTGGCTGGAGTTGCCTTCATTCAAGCAAAGGACTAGTAGCCAGGGGGACGCACCAGTGGCTAGTGGGCGATATTGCCGGCCTGAAGAGGAAGTGGCTCGACTCTTGACCATGGCTGGGGTTCCTGAGGATGAGCTAAACCCTTTTCATGTGCTGGGGGTTGAAGCCACAGCATCAGATACTGAACTAAAGAAAGCCTATAGGCAGCTGGCAGTGATGGTGAGTATATTTTTCAGTTTCCTTTTTTTTTTTTTTTTTCCAGGACTGAGGATTGAACTCAGGCCCTTATGCTTGCCAGGGAAGTACTTATTCCACTGAGCCATCTCCCTGGCCCTATCAGTTTCCTATTTTTTATATTTATTTATTTTTATTTATTACATTTATTTATTGTGTGTGTGGCCAGCTCAGCCCACCAGGGGGCGGGTCTGGCTGGCATGTGGTGCTGGGGATCGAACCGCGGTCCCTGTGCTTTGCCAAGCTTGTTTCAAGTAGGTGCTTTAGACCACTGAGCCATCTCTCCAGCCCTCAGTTTCCTATTTTTATTTGTTCTCTTATTTTCTACTTCAGTTTTAGGGAGAGTGGCATAAAGGGAAAGTAGAACAGAAAAGCCAGCTGGAAGCTGAAGGGTAACATTTGTAGAAAGCAGTGATAAAAGACTTTTTCTGTCTGCTGTAGAATCTGACTCTTCTGTTTTTTGTTTTTAAGTCTCATCACTAAATTTTATTATGATAAATGTTTTTTATGATAAATATTTTTTAAAAGAGAATACAAAATGGTAAAAGAAAAAAACTCTTAGAAATGAAACAGAATTTTACTAAACAAAATAATAGGAATTTGACAATGGTTGTTGTATTATATAATATTATCTTCAAATTGGTTTAGACTACCAGTTATAAACATGTGAAATTGGAAAGAAAAAGAAAAAATTTAAGCATTAACTGCTTTCAATAGACCAGCAGAAATCAGTACAGTTATCCAAGCTATCCTGTATATACACATAAATTTATCTTTATCTTTTTTTTTTTTTTTTGTCCTTTTTATCCCAGTTTTTCTTTCCCATTGAACAGATTTTTTTCCCTTTCACAGTATATCTTGTACCTTTCAGATTTACTGGATCTGACTTTCTTACCCTCCATCTTGAATCTTTTGTCATGAGATTTAAATTTTTAAAAAGTTTGTTTTGCAGGCACCATTGTTCTTACTCTAGAAGAGTTAGACACAGTCCCCTTAACTTTGTGTTGGGGAAGAGGCTTATTCAGAGGGTATTTCAGTTGGGATGGGATTTTAACTTTTTTTTTTTTTTTTTTTGGTGGTACCAGGGATCAAACTCAGGACCTTGCACTTGCCAGGCAGGCTCTTAGGCCATTGAGCTATATCCCTGGCCCCAGGGATGGGATTTTATTTTTTTTTGTGGTACAGGGGATTGAACTCAGGACCTTGCGCTTGCCAGTCAAGCGCTTGTTCTACGGAGCTATGTCCCCAGCCCCATAGGATGGGATTTTAAACATGGGGAAACTTGGCTATCTCTCCTAGTGAGAAGTATGGACCTAATGTGAGAGGGCTCAGGGAGTGCATGTGAATGATTATACCAGGATCAGGTAGAAGAAAACAGTCTAGATGAGGCCAGCAGACCAGAATAGAAGAGGGAACAAAAAAGGAACATAAATCACAGGATTTATTTATGCTTGTGTATGTCATGCATGAAAATATGATTGTGCTGGGTATGGTGCACTGGAGGCTGAGGCAGGAGGATTGCTATAAGTTTGAGGCCAGTTCTGGACTACATAGTGAGAGCTTGTCTTGAGAGAGAGAAAAAAATAGTTCCTTTGATTGATAAGGGCATGTGCATGTGGGAATCATAATGTACCATAGGCTTTAAGGAAATACCTGGAGTTTAATGCAAAGATTCAAATTAATATTAGAGGTAGATATTAAGATGCTATTTTTAGATATGTAATCATTATTGTTATTTCTATATAAGTAAAACTATATTGTGAATATAATGTGGATAGCTTGCATTGGATGCCTACTTTTACTGAGTGTATAGAGCTGAATTGATAACATCACCATATACAGTTTACTTCCATGGCTTATGACAGTGAAGAGAAATGAGCAACCAAGTTTTCCAGTTAAAGGTACAATAAACTACAAGACCTGTTGTGGCAGATGACATCAAGGGTAAGCATCCATAAGACTGAAGATCTAGGAACGAAGCTTTACTGTGAGCCAGTGATCAATGACCTGCACCTCAGGACTCACAAAGTGTCAGTCCTGGCTTGAATGTTGCTTTCAGGTTATACACTTTTCAGGTATCGATAGCAACTGCATTTCCACATTCATAGGAATTTTACACAGTTGCCACAAAATTATCACAAGGTTTAATTTCTCTGATGCTGTTGACCATCTGCCTATCATAGGACACAGTGGGTTAACATTTACCCTACTTCCCAAGCTGTTCTGTTCCCTATTTATAGCCTTCTTTTTTCTTAGTGGGTTTTATGGTTAACTACATGGGAGGGTGTGAGTGAGTGAGTTCATCTACAGTTTGAGTGAACTTAAGAGACTTTTGTTAAAATTCAGTCACAGAAAGAAAATGGAGGGGCCAGGGAGATGGCTCAGTGGAATAAGCACTTCCCTGGCAAGCGCAAGGGCCTGAGTTCAATCCCTGGTTCTACCCAAAAAAAAAAAAAGAAAAGAAAATGGAGTGCCTCTTGCCACATCATTCTCCACTCAAGGGCACATTTTCTTTTCTTTTTTTTTTTTTCTAATTGATTTGGTTGTTACAGGGTCTCACTACGCAGCTCATACTCATAGTGGTCCTCCTGTTTTCGGTCTCCCCAGTGCTGGCTTACAGGCATGCGCCACTATGCCTGGACTCTGGCTGGTTCAGTCTTCCCTGGCAACGAGACTGGTGTGGCATGTGGTGCCAGGGATTGAACCGTAGTCCCTGTGCTTGCCTAAGCAGGCACTTTCACTCTCTGAGCTATATTTCGCCAGCCCCACATTTTCCTTTTTTAGCACATGTGTAGTCCTCCATATGGAGGTGGTCTTTCTGTTTTATACTAGGTATCCTGTTTTAAAACCATCTGTAATTTGTCCGTTGTGGCCTATAGTCTTTTTTTAGCCATTGAATTAGACATGGCCCAAACGTTAAAAGGACAGTACTTTTTAGGAAAGGCCCAGCTAAACTAGTAATGAGGGAGGTTAACCAGGGGTTCCAGTTAAACAATTGTTTATATCAGCCTTGTCTTGTTCTCTGAAGCACTGTGGCTTTACCCACCATTACAGGCTATCTATCTCCAGACAAGGGGCCTAAGCCTTGGTCATTCTTAAGAACATGAGAAACCAATTTGTTAATATAAATCTTGCTTATAGCCACTTTGGAGTGATCTCTGTCAATTCACCCTTTTTTATTTTTGTAATAGCAGCAGTTGAAGAATGACTAGCATTGTCTGGTTTGGTGTCACCTGTAGCCGACTAAAAACAGAAGTAAAAGCAAGCATGTTAATATAATCAATCCACTGTAGAATCCAAAGTGGGTTGGAGGCAGCAGACCTGACAGGTTTGAAGATCTCTATGGCTGCCTGTTGCAGATGTATCCATAATGGTTTTTATGATCTGTCAATATACAAACATACCCTTGTCCCAAGTTATTAACTGTACTGGGCCATCCCATTTTATGTATTTATTTGGATGTTCTTGTTTTGCTAGTGAGCTCTATCTAATTGTAATATTTTTTCCCTGAAGAGCTTTCCATACCTGTGGTTAGCAAAGACTGGACATAGTTTTATATATATTGTGACTATACTTTTCTGCTAGATGTTTAAGACCAAGTTAAAGTGAGATCTACATTAATTAAAATTAACTCTTTATTAAAGCACCTGCAAGCAGACGCAGGGGCCGGGGGTTTAATCCCCGGTCCCGCCGTGCCTGCCCATTGCTGAGATAGCAATTGAGACTGAGCGTGGTGGCACGTGCCTATAATTCCAGCTCTTGGGAGGCTGTAAACAGGCGGATCACTACAGGTCCAATCTAGTAGTGAGACCCTGAACACCCTGTAGACTCCTCCCTAAAATACAAAAAAAAAAAAAAGCCCACCTCGCCATCCATCAAGGTCAGTTAAATCTTAGGAATTACCTTAGAACCAAGTACAGTGCCTTTTAGTACTTCTGGTAGTGTCCACCATCAGGATGAGTCACGGCCACTGCTTGACCAAGTTGCTTTCTGTGAAAGCTTGGGAAACTTTCTCCTGGTGACACTCCTTGGGCACACTATACAACATCAAGTCACTTTCCTCTGTGACCTCACAGTGTCCTTGATGAGAAGATCAGGGACCCAACTGAGTTATAGGATGTTGTAGCAAAGGCTCTCTTATATCCTGGGTCCTCACTGACTTTGGGGTGGGGTCTAGGGCCAAAATATTAGCTACTCTCTTAATCCATCTATTTTTATAATCTTTGGTCTCTGAACCTCGGTTGTTGAACATCCAGAAGAGGTTAATGACATCACATTATAGTGGGAGTGATGAACTTACTAAAATTTTATCTGAGTGTTATGTACCTTGAAATCTAAAGTATATACAGAGAACTATTACTTTTTAATACCTTTAGGATGTTAATTTACAACAGTTATATAGTTTTACAGAGGAAATTTGAAAGCAAAGACCATATGCAGTATTGTAGCCTAACAGTTGTGATGACTTTTTAAAAAAATTTTCACAAAGCTTTATTCCAGAGGGGCTCAGTCCTTCTTGGCAGCTGCTTTCCTCATGGTGGCCAGCACATTGCTCAGCTCCTCATGCTTCCTCTTGGCGAGGATGTGTGTCCCTACTCTTTTCTTGATGAACTTGAAGGCATGTTTGTCCTTGGAGACCTTGGGTAGCCCCATGGCGCAGCGCTGCTCATAAGGGGCAAAGCCACACACTTCCTTGATCATATCCTGCATGAACTTGGTGTGTCTGGTGAAGCATCTGTGACGGGCGGCTGTGCCTCTGTTTGCTTACATTCTTAGTCGCCCTTGTGGCCCTTGTTGAGGCCCATAGCCATGGGATAATGTAGGGCCATTATAGAAATACAGATATGAGACAAACGCCTAATGTCCCGAGAGAGTAGGGAGCAATACACAGAGCCCAAGGAAAACTGTTGTCTGTCACTTGTAATTTCTAGCAAGCTGGGATTCAAGGCTGCAGATAACAGCTTTTGCTGGTGCCCTGTTCTTTG